CCCGGCGACGTGAAAGCCCTTTGTCGACCTCCCCGGTAAACCTCATCCCATGAGGTTTACCGGGGCTGCCGACAAAGGGCTTTGATGTCGACGGGAGCGTCCAGACTAGCGCGCTGAGCGGACAAACAGCTGATCAGCTGTTTGTCGGCTCAGCGTGGCAGCCATGTAAATGTAAATGAAGCCGCGATCATTTAAATTGAGGCTTCATTTGCCTTTGCCAAAACAACAATTGTACATGCCTCTGACGACAGAGGCATGTAGTTTAGATGTACCCAGTGTGTCCAACAGCTCCCATGCCATCCTCCTGACCCTGCGAGACCTGCAGGCACAGGTGACCCCAAGATGAACTGGTGTGGGAACACCTTGAGTGTCTGCGTGCCCTCCATTGTAGTTTTGAGCAGGAGTAGCGGGGGTGGGTAGCCAACCTGGAGGATTGCCATGCTGACTGGGAGCTGTGGTACACCATCTCGGAGCAGCTGTCCCGGCAGCACGAGACCATGTGCATGGCATTTACCAATGCCATTGAGCGCTTGGTTGCTGCCATTAAGCAGTCCAGCAGCCACCCTCCAGCACCTGCTTCCCCCCAACTCCCTCCTGCACCTGCTCCCCTGGCTTTTTCTCCTAGTCCCTCCTCCCTGCCTAAGGCTGCTGAGGGTTGCGCACACAAGGCGGTGGAACCTCTCCAGCAGCTGAAGCATTCAGACACACCTGAGACAGGTGCCACTCCCAGCTCCATCCCTGTGCCCTTCCTCCCCCGTCCCAGGTTCTTTCACTAGTCCCTCCCCAGTTATATATTCCCCAAATAAAAATTACTGAGTTTATTTCATACAAAAAGTCTGATTTATTTTATTTGCAGAGGAAGGGACAGGTGGGGGAGGAAAGGCACAGAGGAGTAATGCAGAAGCCCTTTGTGGAGAGGCCTGGGGAGAGTCTCAAGTGACCTTGTCAGAATCACTCTCTCAGGGCCTCTGGGATGAGCCCAGTCCCAAGATGGGCTTGCCAGATGGCAGCACTGTGTGGCTGCTCAAAAGCCCTGGTGAGCTGCCCAGTCTCTGTCCCCCACCCTGGCAGGAAAGACTCTCCCTTGTTTTCACAAAGGTTGTGGAACACAACAGGCTGCTGGGGGATGCTCTGGTCGCTGAAGTCCAAGCGGATGAGGAAGCTCTGGAACCTCCCCTTGAGGCAGCCGAAGGCACCCTCCACAACAATGCGGCACCTGCTGAGCCCAGTGTTGAAATGTTCTTTCGTGGGGTCTATGTGGCCCATTAAGGGGTTCATTAGCCAGGGGAAGAAAAGTTACGCTGCATCACTCATGATGTAGATGGGAATATCAACTTTCCCATCCATGATGGTGAGATCAGGGGGGGAAACGGCCAGCGTGAACCATCTGGAAGAGGTTGGTGTTCCTGAATATGCAGACATCATGCGCCTTTCCTGACTACCTGACATAAATGTCCATGAATGTCCCTATGGTCCACAAGGGCCTGTGGCATTATTGAAAAGGACACTTTCCTATTGCTAAAGTCTGAGGCACCGTGGTTGCGGACAAAAGTTGGAATGTGGGTGCCATCAATGTCCTCCCCGCAGTTGGGGAAGCCCCTGGCAGCAAAGCCAGTGATGATGGTGTCCACGTCGCCCAGGGTGATGATCCTCTGCAGCAGGATGGTCTTCACCACCTGTAGAAACATAAAATTACACGGTTGCCAGAGTCCTTGAGAGTTCCCCAAGTCCAAGCCCCTTCCCACAGCAGGAGCAACTCCAACTAAACCATCCCAGGCAGGGTTCTGACAATCTGGGATTGAAAAATTTATAGGGAGGGAGATTTACCTCCCTGTCCCACCAGGCAACCTATTCCAGTGCTTCACCACCCTCCTAGGCCAACTGTAAGAGAGTCAACCTGCATAAGCACAGCCCCAACATTTGATCTCCCCATGTCAAACTGGTTCCCAAGGGAGTGGTAGCTGTCCAGCATGGCAAGCTTCCATAGTGTGATGGTGACATGCTTCTGGAGGAGGATGGTGGGTCACATCCAGGTGTCCCATTGCCAGAGAGCAGGGGTGAATCACTCTCAGAGCTCTAGGAAGGTGGCCTTCAACATGCGGAAGTTCTGGAGCCACAGCTGATCGTCCCACCGCTCCATGATGATGAGGTCCCACCAGTTGGAAGCTGCAGGGCACAGTGTGCAGGAGAGGATAGAAGGGACTATGGTGCATGAGGAGCACCTGGGCCAGGGTGAGGAGGTGCCTCCTTCTGAGCTGGTCATTGTGGTCCTGTAGTACCATGAGGGCAGCCTACATAAACTACGCCAGGAGTTGCAGCAGGAGGTCTTCCTCTCCATGTTGGAAGTGCTGTGGCACCCGCAAGGGCAACCAGAGCACGCAGTGTGAGTTTGCGGTCCCTCTGGTAGGCAATGGAGAAGAGTCTGAGACACTGCTGTAGAGCCCCTTTAAGCATGCGCCCCAGCCTCAGGAAGCAGCGACAAGAAGTGACTTCTGGGGAGCTTTAAATGTGATTCTCACTCCAATCAGTGTGGACACACTATTTCAATATAAGCCTGTGTTATTTCAGTGTGGATTTGTGGTGTCAATGCATTATTTCAAAATAGTCACTTCAGGAGTAATTGTACGGTAGTGTAGGCATAGCTTAATGCTCTGCTAAGCAGGCACCTTTTCCAATGAACTGAGACTAATAAGGATAGTAAGAGCTGAAGAAGAGGAGAGAGTTTGATGTGATTAGTGCCTATTTTGAGACAAACCCAGGCCCTTTTGTTGCATAATTTAGGTTAATTCATCTCTCAGGGCCTTGACAATAAATAATGGATCATTAAATGCCCCAGATCATATTCATTGATGGCATCTTCAACTTTAAAATGATCACGATTTTATTGAACTCACTGCTTCAACTCATGGAAACTGGTAGTATATGTACTTAGCTGAAATTGTGGTACAGAATGGACCTCCCTGGTCCCAAGGGTGCTGGACTTGACCGGTACCAAAGGAGGGAGTTTGCTGGACCAGGGGAGGCCAATTCTGCCTATCTGCTGATGGACTCTGGGCTCTCCAGGGTCCATCCGCAGATTGGGCAGGACTCCTCCTCCTTGCTTCAAGCTCCCTGCCCCCAGGCTGCTGGCTCCTGGCTTTGCCACTGCTCCACTGCCCCAGGGGCTTGTGGCTGCAGGCCACCAGGGCTCTGCTTGCTGGGCTGGAGCTGCCTCGGGACTGCTGCAACTCCACTCACTGGTGCACCCAGGCTGCCCGAGCTCCACTGCCTATGGGTACCAGGGCTGCCGCTGCTCCATACTGGAATTTGCTTCCCTGGGGCTGCTGCAGCTCCCCTTCCCCGGAGCCTCTGCAACCAGCCCCATGGCCCCTGGCTCTCTGGTGCAAAGGATCTCTGGTCTAGCAATATTTGTGATTGTGCCGTACCAGAGTCCTGGATGAAAGAGATTCAATCTGTACAATGTATGGTTTGCACTGAGTGTTGCAGTGACAAAGGGATGTACTGCATTGAGTATAAACTGTTATCCTGTTTCTGTGACAATTACAAAGGAATTAGGGAATAGTTGATGTAATAAGAGTGTAATTACAAAGCCCCCTTATATCTTTAAAAA